AGGTTTTAATATTTTGCGCATTTTAATTTAAGAGGATATGCAGACAATTCTTGCTTTTCACTTGGATGAATAAGTCATTTAAAAGATGCTGTTGATACACAGGAAGCTTGGTTACAATGCATAAATTAATGAAGAAAATAGTCTTTATTCTTAAGGGGTCAAAGGCATTATAAGATGAAAGAGAGAACACAAACCACATGACCAGTTTTCTTTTATGCTACCCATAGAAAAACTTTTTTCCTTTGTGGTGATTTGCACCTCACTTCCAATTTCCTGAAAAGCTCATTTGAAACATTCCCATATAGAAATCTACTTACATTCTTCCATTTCTGATGTAGGGATCTGAGACCCAGAATGTCCCTTCCGATCTGTGAACCTTAACTGTCAAATCGCATGTGTGATGATTATCCCATTATTTTATCAGATTTCATTTTAATCACTAGATTTTCAGGACCTCATTCTTTCTAGAAGGAAGTTTTTTTGAATTCCAGTAATGGTTTGATGATCATCCTAAACATCATGCTCTTTTTCCTCTCTGATATTTAGCTGCAAATGTATTTTTGAAAGAAATCACAAAATCACAGCTTTAATATTGTGTCATACTAAATAATACTGCTTGCTCTTTCAACCTCCTGTCATCTCATGCTGATAGCTGGTTCCCATTCCAGTTTGCATTAGGCTTTCTGGTTTTGTGTGTGTGAAGGCTCTCCAGTGACACATCAGCAGTGACATTGTGTTGTCTTACCTCTACTGGAAAAAATCCTCAGAATTCATCCTACTAATAAATTTGTTTCATTCGGTGTTACATCAAATGATTAGTTACAACCATTCATAGATTATAACCATTTTAGGTCGACAAATATAGTAGGATTTTTTCTTCCTTTGCTTCTCCCTTTTCTGCCTGATAACCTACGGGTCGACAAATATAGTAGGATTTTTCCTTCCTTTTCTTCTCCCTTTTCTGCCTGATAACCTACAGCTCTTCTGTTACAAAAGGCCTGTTTCTGATCTGTGAGTACGTGTTTGCATTTTTGATACCCAAGCCAAAAAGTGGTCCTAAGGGTTTCTTAAACAGTATTTTGACCATCTTTTGTATTAACTAAGATTTCCTACTTTGATAGCCAATGTCGTTAATCCAATCCTAGCTCTTAATTACTAGATTAGGTTGGGAATTGTCCCAAAGACAACCCACAAGATCTTCTGCCTTTCCTTCAGCCCAGTGTTTCCCTTTCAAGACAGGCTGTGATCAGTCCCCCACCCTCCTGTTCCTCATGTATCCTAAAATTTCTGTGCTGATATCCCTCCTTTTCCCCTTAACTAGTAATTTCCCAGAGGGAACCTGTTACCACTGAAGTGTTTTCTTGATTCAGTTGTTCAGGCATAATTCTGTGAGGTATTGTCCAGCTGGTACAGGGTATCACAGCTGAGCATCCTCCAGTGTCATTACAGTGATGGGAGCAGAGAGCCCTCAGCATATTTCAAGGCATTACTGATATGGACTGGCCATAATTCATCGTAAGGACCTGTCCTCAGCAGGGTATCAAAAGTCTGCTCTTGCTTTCTCTGTTAGCTCTAAGGAATTTACTTTTTACAGTTTAACAGCATGGCTGTAGTCACATAATGCAATCGCTGTTTAGAAATTTTCTCAGTCCATCTTTACCAGAGGTGCTGTGCAGTCTCTCCTGACTCCATTTGAAGCACAGATTTTCAAAGTGCAAAATTTTAGAAAGCATTTCTAACATAATTTTTAAAATAGAAAAACCAGCTTACAACTATGCTATTAAGCATTTTTAAATTCTCTTACCTAATTAGTCTATTCTGCTGACTTCCATTTTTGGTAGACTGCTGGTTTTGGTAGTTTTAACAACTAATTTTACTAGATAACTACTTAAGTTTGAATAGCATTTTGCCTGTCTGTTAAATATAGGGGAAAGAACTAGCATGGCAGCCTCTATCCTTTTAATATGCATTATTGCATTTTCTGTGATTTTGCATAATAAAAATATTGTGAAACATCTGTAGTATTCACTTTGTGTAAGTTTTGGCACGTGGAGTATCTCACCAATGTAGCAACAATGCTATACAAAACATGGGAAAAGGTCATCCCTGTTTAAACCTCCTTCCATGTGCCATTGGGTCAAAGGAGGTAGTAGTCTGTCAGTGAAAAAAAATTATTGGATTTTTCTTCCTCTCTTAAATAGCTGTAGAATTTCTGTTAAAAGAGAAAAGAGATTGTTTTTCTTTTGTATAAGTTTTCCTTCACTAATAAAATACAAAAGTCTGTTCATGTATTATTTAAAGTGTCTTCCAAGAATCACAACTGCAATACTGGTTGAAAGAGAGAAGGATTACTATCATTTAAAGGAAAGAAATGGAAGATCTTTAAGGTCATTTCTTTTCATGACAAAGAAACTTAAAAAGCATGGCAGACAGGATCTTCAAAGGTTTTTAAAGTCCTGTCATCAGCTCCCAATCAATAGGAGTTAGATACCCAAATTAAGAGTTCAGTTCAAGTCTTCAAAGGTATCTGGGTGCTTAACCTCCTTTTACCTTTCAGATCACTTCTAAGAATAAAGTGGCAGTTTGACTGCAAACATTTTGATGCAGTGCCTTCATGTCCAGCACCTGGATAATCTGTAGCAGACACTGATAATTAGCATAGTAGATACTTCTCTTCCAAGTTCATTACTTGTTAGACTGTGTAGAGTTGGTCATGTTTATAGAATTGTCCTCCTTTGTGAAAGAAATTTGCTAAACTCCTGAGTTTATATTGACTAAGGATGCAAATGAAACTGATTTCTTTGTAACATACTGTTACAGGCTTTTACCTTCCCGGTCTGTGCTTGCACATCTGCCTGTGCAGGATAAGGCTCCTGCCAGATAACTGATGTTATTATCAATGTAAAAAAAATAGATAGCATGTATTAGATACAAAATATGTTGCCTAGCATAGATATTCTATGCACTATAGCATCTCTCAAAGTTGCCAAGGCTCCACCTTAAAGGGGATCCCGCTGAGAGCTGTGTAGTGCAGTCAGGACTACCCCTGCCTTTATTATTTATTTTTTTCTAAGTGTTTGTAAGAATCTTAGATGGTTCAGATCTACTAGAGGTACTCTATCTGATGGCTGTGCCTCGGGCATACACAGTGGAAGTGGCAGTGCCCTGTGTTAACATGGAATTGCTGTTTGTTTACAGTCTTGAGTCACTGAATCCTTCCTGTCAAGCCGAAAGCGTTCATTATAATGCAGGCACTTACTGTCTCCTGCTCTCGAGTGACATCAAAACATAAGCCGGAATTTGTCATTATTATTGTCATATGCCTCAGAGTTCGTGAACGGGCCGTGGATCCCAAAGCCTCGGGCGCTGAGTGGCATGTTTGGTCTTTTGGAGGAACAATTCTGCCTCTAGTCCAGCATTTACATCTCTGAGACAGTTGTCACAGCTGCTCCCGGTAATGTTGACTGTCATGTTTTTAGTGCAAATGCACCTCATCTGAGTAGCTAGACAGTGGTTACACTCCACATGTTATAGATTTCCTTTTTGTTCTGTATCAATCTGGCCTTTCTTTAGCGTCAGTGCTGAGAGCCAGTTGCTTTGAGGATGGGAAGTGGATGGGGCAGAGCAGACACATTTGTTTTCCCGCATTTACATCCAACTTGGGGCCCTTCATCGCTCTGAAGAGCGAGCAGCCCCTGCTGCCCTGCTGTCAGCCCGGCTCCCAGCGCCAGGACCGGCCGCAGGAGTCTTGCTCCTGCCACTGTGGAGGAGCAGCTGCTGAGCAGGAGGAAATGAGTCTCAGCAGGCACAAATCTATTGCCTGTGTTTTTATTCTTTCCATTTCTTTCAAACGGAAAACAATCTGAGCAGTTTCTGAGGATGAGGGATATAAATCTGTCTGCTGCTATTTATACCACGCTCGTCACTACAGTGTCTAAATGCTTAAAGTATATATTTGCTGCCTAACCTGAGGTGGTCTTCAAGCCTCTTGGACTGTCACATGCAGGCATGTCTTAGACCAGGGGCAAAGAGGAGTGAGTCCAGGGGACATCCACGTCTCATTCTTACTCCTGCTCAGGCTGTGCAGGTTGGCTCTTAAGCCTGAGGCCCTTGGGCATTGGGAGGGTGGTAGCGTGGACCTCCCTGCTTGGCACGGTGTTGAATGGTGACCCAGAGGAGTGACTTGCATCAGTGCAATAAGCGCCTGCCTTATTATCCATTAACATTAGAAGGGAACATTTTGTGTCCTGAGGCTCAGAGACAGCACTGTGGGTGCTGTTCTTATTTGGTTGGGCAGACAGCAGTGGATGAACTGTGTGGGTGTCTTTTGAACAAGGCCATAAAATTGGGTCTGTGTGTTCTGGCTAGTTATTTTAATAAATAACTTCTCTTTTATTTGAATAATAAGATACCCCTTTTCTGTCTGATCTCTTTCAAGCATGCTTCACTTTCACCACATGCACCGACATACTATTCTTTATTCCGATATTCTAAATAGGCATTCAAATAATATTAAAACCACTGATTCATTGAAATAGTTTTTAAACTGTTGTTGTTAGTCATTTTGTATTGACCGAATTTTTCATTGGTAATATTGTTGGCAGCAGTCCATGTCTGCCTGGCTGGAGGCCAGTTTAAGCTCGGCAGGATGAGCCCTATTGTTCAGCAGACTTGGATTTTGTTAAACTCTCTAACAGAAATATGTGTCAGGAGATTTGCAGCTATAAATTGGATCATGTTGGTGAGGTTGGGAACTCGCTCAATACGAAATTGAACATTTCGCCATGCCTGTTGCTAAATGTTTGTGTGTGTTTCCTCCATGGGTTTCAAAAAAGAAAAGGAAAAAAAAGAAAAAAGCTAGACCTGTTGAGCTCTGTCTACACTTTATACAGCTGGTACTTTCTTTGATGTTGAGTGGTTGAAAAATGCAGCAAGACCGGGGTTTGTGCATTGCAATGTTAAAAGCAAGTCTCTTTTCCTTTTTTCTCTGTGTGTTACAGGCAGTCAGATGCCACCGCAGCCTCCTGGCAGCCAGTCAGAATCCAGCTCCCACCCTGCCTTGAGCCAGTCACCAATGCCACAGGACCGAGGTTTGTTAGGTGTTGGGGATTTTTCAGTTGGTGCCAAATGTAGCCTTCATTTTAAGTTGCACATTAGCAATGTGAGATTTTCTGGTATTTCTTTTCTTTCCCCAGGGAAGTTAATGACCGTCTTCATTGTAAAAGGCTTGGGGGGTTTCCTTCTCTGGGGAAAGAGCAATTGAATAGCAGGTTTTACCAAAATATGATTGAAAACAAGGTTTTCTCAAAATACAATGAATGCCCAGAGTATAAAGACAGTTTCTGTAAATATTTGAGTCATGTCCTAGAGAAAACAACTTTTGCTATCTTGGAATTAAGATGTACAGAAATAGTGCTAGTTATGAGCAGGATGGTTTGGCTGCTGTTCTTAAAATTCTCGTCTCTAATATCTTTGCATGGACACAATAGTCCTCTAGCCAGTTCTAAGATAAAAATATCTTCACATGTAAAGGGAAATCAAATATTTAGGTCAAATGGTTCAAACATTTGGAAATCTTGCAAGGGAAAACCTTGCAGGCAGCAGCACTGTTCTAAAAGGGTGCTTCCTATCAAGTGCTCACAAAAATAAATGGAGCATTTTTAAATTAATGTTACCTTTTATAAAATTTAAGCCCTTTGTCTTTCACCTCCTTCCTCCCTAGCTCATGGAAGGTAGCTGTCACAGCTTAGTTGTGTGGCCATACATAATGATCAGCTGCTGTAAACTGGGCACCCTGTCCTGCAGTGGTTAACATGTACCAGTGACAGGCTTGCAAAACAGACATATGATAACTGTGATAAACATGGAGTTATTTATGAAATGCCCCTCCTAAAATGTCTTGCTACCAGAAATATTCCAAGTAGCACCATATGGGGATACCATAAATACTAGAAGTTTTCTCACAGTAAAACAAGTTGAACTCACAGAATGACAAATTTCTGGGATAGCATCCAGGAGGAGCTAAGAGGACGCACAAAGAAGAGCAGAGAGTCTTAATTTTTTGCTATTTTTCTGGGCTGAATATCCCCTCCTTCAGGAATGCTGATTAATGAGAACATGAAATACGGAATTCCATGCTCAACTTGTTCATTTTTCCCCTTTTCAGTCATTCTTTGTACTCAGTTGTTAGCGCAAGGACTTGTTTTTTCCTTTAAAAAAATTTAGGATAGTGTTCATGTTTGGTGAAAAAAGAACAGCCTCAGTACCCAATACAAATGTATGATGCTTTGTGGGATAGAATGTCATAACGCAGCAGGGACAGATCAGATGGAGGCTTTGAAGATCCAGACATCTCAGAAAGATGTGTGCATTTCGTGACATGACTGGATCTTGGCACAAAATGTTACACTGCCCAGTAATAATTATTTTTGCAGTGTGTGTTCCCAGCCTGGGTTAGGAGGACGAGTTAGGCAGGTCTGACAGAGCTTGGAAGGGTGAACCTCTCTGTTCTTCTGTAGAACAAAACTGGGATTGTATGGTCAGGAGAGGCAGAGAGGTATTCGGAAGTAAACCAGAGAAGACAGCTGCCATAACTGGGAAGTCAAACAAGCAGATAACACGGAGAGAAGTAAAATTTCAGATTAATTCAGTTTGTTTCTTTCTCTGTGCAGGAGGGGGTGAGAATTGTGGGTATCTTCTTAGAGAAAATGTGTTGGGGAATGTTGCGGTTTTTCCACACTTCATATTCAAACTCTGGTGTAATATGCATGATCCTTGTGACCCAGCTTGTACAAGAAGTCCATTTGTTTCATGCAGGAGATTCAAAATTTGTAACTAGCTAGGTCATATTGATTTTGCAGAACATGTTTCCCAAAGCTTCTCTAAAGTCTGTGCTGTACGCGCATAAACATGCGTGCATTCCCTTTTGTGCCCTGTCATTGATTAGAGGCTCCTTTGAAATGGAAAACTTCACCTTTTAAAAAGGCTGTTACATTAGTTGATTCCTTTGCTTGCTTGAACTGGTTTCCACTGAACATGAAGAAAGGAAGGAGGGGTAATGATGGGGACTCAAAGGAAAGGTGCTTGTCATTTACTGATAAAAACCTGAGCAGAAAATCGTTGCTGCTAAGGACACCTGATCCTTGGGCATCTGTTACAGTAATTTAAACTCTTGGCTTACTGATACACTTTATCCCCCCCCCCAAAAAAAAAAAAAAAAAAAGAAAAGAAAAAAATAAAGGAAAATGAAAACAAAAACCCCAGAGACACTCCATAGGATAAGGTAATGTTGTTTGTTTTCACACTTTGTATAGCATTTCTTTCCTTGTTTAGAGAGAGAATTGGATGAACAAGAGACTTATATTCTGCTCTTAATACATGAAAAAAATGTTACTTACCAGCTATCATGAAGCTTGACTGACAGGTGGAGTCTGAGCTGTAGCCCTTTTGGATGCTAAACCACTACCTTGAACCATTAAGTTTGCACATATTTATTTTATTATCAAAGTGTTTGATTGTATTTTACCCTGCTTTCCATGGTTACTCAGCACCCAGCTGGGATTTTTATGTTTGCCTTCCTAAGACTATACATTCCCTGTCATACAGTACAGCATGAAGCAATGAGCGTATTTTCACATGTACATTCTGTGGGGGGAGTGGTATCGTGCATATATACACTAATAGGAATCTCTTGGGGGATTGCTTTTTTTTGTGTGCTCTTCAGCTTTCTTTTAATTTACCTTATTTCATACTTTCTGTAATAAGCATGAGTGCTAACTTTTTCGAAATAATTTTACAATTTTTCGCATCCTGCTCAAGCTGTAGGACATTTGAACCTGGGCAGTGTAAATAGAGGGTGCTGTTCTAGGCACTTCTGTTCTTGTCCCAGAATCAGCAACTGGTCACTGTTGTTTGATTCCAGATCAATTAAATGTTTTGAGTTCTACCAACACACATTGTCTACCTAGGTAACAAGAAATTGCGATTACTTGTACGTAACCTATGTCTCAGCTCATGTGTCTTTGAAAGTACTGGGATTTGAAGTATGTCCCGTACACCTTAATGGAAAGCCGGAGACCTCTGGAGACAGGGGGAGCAGACTGTGTAGGACTAGCGTCAGAAGTCTCTTGGAGAAGCAGGAGTGGCCATGGCCACTCACCTCCATTTGTGTTTAACTGCTGCTGAATCCCAACAATTGCCTTTTTTTGGGAATACCATATGAAAATATAGTCATGGCTAAATGAAGTAGTCCTTGGAACTTGCTATGCTTTGAGGGGGAAGGAGGATGGCCATTGTGCTCATTGTTTGTGATATACCTACTCCAGACTTTTCTTTATATGATCAAAACTAAGGGTTTGATTTTTGGGTTTATTTTAGTCAAAGCTTTTTATAAACTTGGTTGCATCAGCCCCAGAGGTAGGGCAGCAGCAATACCACAGCTGTCATAACCATTCAGCAGATAGTTGAGGTACACAGTCGCTTGAGTTCCCAATATTCAGTTGTACCTACTTATTTGTTTTCGTTTGTAAGCCACACTTCAAGGATGTGCTTAGGAGCCAGAACTGCTCAATGAGATAGCATTTATTTCTATCAATCAAATAGAAACCCAGTATATCCCAACTGACCCCCTAAATTAGTTTCCTGATGATCCAGCATGAAAAAGAAACCTTCCATCCTGGCCATTAGCTTATACTCCTGTTCTTACTTCTGTAAACTAATGGAGATGTCCATCTGCCTATAGGAATACTCACCTTGCAAGCACTAATAGGAGAATATGTGTCCAATAATGTTGAAATACACACTTTTACCCCTGCAGGAATGAATGGTTCCTTACCTAATTTAGAAAAACCTTAAAAAACAGCTTTTAAGTTGTCTTTTTCATGCTTTGTAGTTGGATGTGTACATGTCAGGTTTCAGTCTTATATTAAAATAGTGAATTGGGAGCTCCTGAAAACCATTGAATTTAATGGAAACAGTTAATGACTTCACATTATTACTCCAGCAAGCACTCTCATAATGGGGATACTTAAAGAAGCCTTATTTATTAGTGCAAATGTATATGGGTCAGAATTAATTTTTAAAAAATCTTTAATTGTTTTCCCCTTATAATTTTCACAGCGGTACGTAGTTAAATATTCATGATAATGCTGATGATATGCTAAAGGTCTGAAATAGATCTGGAGTCTCAAAATCAACACAGGTTATTTAACCCTTTTCATCTAATGCACCATTGGGGACTTGCTGAGTGAAATCCCAGAGCACTGGAATAATTAGAAGATAGTAATGAGGATTTAATTAGTCCTTGAGATATGCTGAAATAGGACCACTGAGAACTTTTCTTTTTGGACATGGATTGCAAGCAGAATTGATGCCATTGCAGCTGCTGTGATGTGCTGGAAAATGTATTCCATTGCTGGAGGCAGTTTCATGGCAGCATTCTGTGCCTGTCAGATCTGTGTGGACAGTGCCTGCAGTAAGCACCTCCAAAATTGTTGAATAGTAGTCACCGCCTTCTCCATCACCTTCTCCCAGTACCTTTTCATTTTTTCTTTTATATGTCATTCTCTCTGTTCTAGCTTTATTTCTTTCCGTTGTTGACATGATCCAGCTTTTGAGGATTGTTGTATAGTTGTATGCTCTATTAAAAACATATCACAGACAGGGACAGGGAGTAAGAATCTGCAGGCTTGTAGAAGTACAGGTTATACTAAGCAAAATTTGGATCTTTTTGACACAACTGCTTGTAAGGTTTATCCTCAGATCTTGTCCTTATTTAGTATTAGATCTTCACAGAAGTGATATTTATCAGTAGCTGCAATGTAGTAAATTTAAATAGCTTTTTTGTCAGCCAAGATGTTATCCAGCAAGAGGTAGTAACAGATGGGATGTGATCAGGCATTTTGATGTTCTCTTTGTGCTTCCCTATAAACACTAAGTAGCAACTGAATTCCTGTAACTACAATTTCCTAATTTGCCCATTAGATTTCATATAGGTATTTTGCTCCCCTTTAACTGTTTTCTGGGCATGCTTATTTGTACACAGTTATCACATAAATTCCACTGTCATGTATTTTCTTCTAACAAAATATAA